AATTGGGGACCCTGCCCGACCGGTATGCATTTCGATGAGAAGCTGCAAATGTGCGTCTATACGAAAACATCATCGTGTGTCGATGTGTCCAGCATCTGTGAATTGGTACCGGACAAGACTAAGTTCCGCAACGAAAAAGATTGTGCCAAATATTATGAATGTTCCAAAAATCTACCATCCGCTAAATCGTGCACCAAACAATTCTATGATGTCCAAGCGGAAAAGTGTGTTGACAAATCGCTGGTCGTGTGCAACGCCCATCCAATACCGGATAAGATCTGCAACAAAGTTAAGAATGCCTATAAAGCAGATGAGGCGACATGTCGTGGTTATTTTTATTGTCGCGATTTGGGTATTGTCGAAGATTTGGAACCGATTTGGGGCCAATGTCCGGAGGGTACATTTTTCAGTGAAGCCAAACAGGCATGTGTAAATCCAATCGATGTCAAATGTGATTATAATCGTTGTGATGGACGCGGTAATCTGATGGTGACAAGTGGAAAAAATAACTGTCACAACTATGTTATCTGTAAGGATGGTGCACCGGTTGAGGACAAAGAATGTATACGTGATTATTTCTTTGATGAAAAATATCAGGCATGTGTTCCGGATATTATCTACTATGAATGTTGTGATATTAAGGAAAAAAAGTGAAAAAAAAAAATAAAAATTCGTTTTGAATCTTACTTCAGCAGGTTGTGTTTTGCATTACAAGAAAGTGGAATAAGAATTAAAGCTAGAGACTCCGTCAGCTCTTAAAAGACCGCCATTAGCTCTATTTCATCTTTAAAGACTCCCTTCAGTTTGACTATAAAGACTCCCATTACCTCGTCTTTAAAGAATCCGCCCATCTCATCTATAAAAGCCTTATCCAACTCTTCTATAAATACCTCCTCCATCTCATCAATAAATCCTTCACCACCTTCAGGTGGTCTATAAAAGACCACCTTCAGCTGGTCTATAAAGAAGACCACCTTCAGCTGGTCTATAAAGAAGACCACCTTCAGCTGGTCTATAAAGAAGACCACCTTCAGCTGGTCTATAAAAGACCACCTTCAGCTGGTCTATAAAGAAGACCACCTTCAGCTGGTCTATAAAGAAGACCACCTTCAGCTGGTCTATAAAGAAGACCACCTTCAGCTGGTCTATAAAGAAGACCACCTTCAGCTGGTCTATAAAGAAGACCACCTTCAGCTGGTCTATAAAGAAGACCACCTTCAGCTGGTCTATAAAGAAGACCACCTTCAGCTGGTCTATAAAGAAGACCACCTTCAGCTGGTCTATAAAGAAGACCACCTTCAGCTGGTCTATAAAGAAGACCACCTTCAGCTGGTCTATAAAGAAGCTGGTCTATAAAGAAGACCACCTTCAGCTGGTCTATAAAGAAGACCACCTTCAGCTGGTCTATAAAGAAGACCACCTTCAGCTGGTCTATAAAGAAGACCACCTTCAGCTGGTCTATAAAGAAGACCACCTTCAGCTGGTCTATAAAGAAGACCACCTTCAGCTGGTCTATAAAGAAGACCACCTTCAGCTGGTCTATAAAGAAGACCACCTTCAGCTAGTCTATAAAGAAAGACCACCTTCAGCTAGTCTATAAAGAAAGACCACCTTCAGCTGGTCTATAAAGAAGACCACATTCAGCTGGTCTATAAAGAAGACCACATTCAGCTGGTCTATAAAGAAGACCACCTTCAGCTGGTCTATAAAGAAGACCACCTTCAGCTGGTCTATAAAGACCCCCATCAGCTGATCCATAAAGACCACCATCAGCTGATCTATGAATACCATCATCAGCTGGTCTATAAAGAAGACCATCATCAGCTGGTCTATAAAGAAGACCATCTTCAGCTGGTCTATAAAGAAGACCAGCTGAAGATGTGGTATAAAGAATACCACCTTCAGCTGGTCTATAAAGACCGTCACCAGCTGGTCTAGAAAAACCTTCTTCACATCGACTATAAAAACTCCCTTGAGCTGCTCTTTATAGGCCCCCTTTATCTTCTCTATTAAGAAACCTCTTCATCATAAATATCTCTCAAAATTTTATATTTTTTTAAATACAATTTTTTTCTTAATTTATAAAAATTAATTAGCTTATAAAAACTACAACTAATCAACAATGAATTTTTTCTTAACAGTTAACGACTTTTCAGAAACAATTCAAACGTTTCCATATCACTCTTCGCCACCTTGCGAACAAAATGATGGTTATTGCCCTCGACCAAAGCTTTGGGGGATATATACATATCCTTATCGGGGTCATATTGGGCACGTCCCAACATTTTCAGAAACTCATGGCGTTCGCGTAGACGAAATTCACGTGATGTTAAAATTTCCGGCTGTTGCAGCAACATTTGATGGGATAATTTCATTTCATTGTGGGCATAGGCGAAACGTTCTATTAAGTCATCCGGTTCTGCAAGAAAAATAAGTTTTTAAAAATATATCTTAATAAGAGGAATACCCGGAATACCCACTCAACATCCACAGCCGTGGTTTACTCAACAGCAATACCTTAATTTCCTCCTTGTTGAAACCCATTTCTTCGCGCACACAAAATGTCGCATCGGCCAGATGTTGCATGTTATAGGTAATCAAGCGGGGCTGCTTGCTGCACAAATAACGAACATCATCACCGCGCAGCGAAAATTCTTTTTGAAAATAACCCAAACGTTTGTCGATGCGTTTGGTGGAGAACATCAACCAAAAAGGGTTAAGGGTTAAGATACGTTGTATTTGCACTTTAGAGAAACGTTTCGCTTCCAGATAATTTACCCTAACCTGCATATCATCTAAATCAACTTTAAATATTAAAGGATTTTTTGTAATAAGTTCACCAAAATATTCTGCGGGTACACCGTGATCCTGGAGAAATAGTAAACGTGGATGGACATCTTTTTCCATATCTAAGGTTAGAACAAATTGTGCTAAGCCTTTACGTTTTTCGATGGCACTTAAGTCGACACCCATTTTTATGAAATTCTGCAATAATTCGGATTTATTTACATAGGCAGCCAAATTGTAAGTGGGTTGTAGCCCTGGTGGGGTTTCCTGCTCTGTTTGTAGTTCTGTTGGGGTATCGCATTCTTTTGTTGTTGCGGGAAGTTGTGTTTTATGTTTCTTTGTGGGTTCTAATATCGCCTTCAATTCATTCAGATCCATACCACCTGTCAATTCGGCTAACTCCTTTTTTGCCATTTCCACGGGATCTGGTTCTTTTTCCGTGAGTGGTGTTGGCAGGGCTTTGTATTCGATCTAGAAAGGGGGGAAAGCAGAAACATTAGTTGTCCAGGGACGGAATTCGGAATTCAAAAATATTCTTCTGTAAGGAATCTATAAGGAAGTCTTTCAAATCGTCTAAAAATGGTCTCTATACCGTCTATAACGACTTCATTACGATTATCTATAAAAACTTCCATTGCTCGTCTAAAAAATTTCCTTCGGTTCATCTATAAAGAAAGCTATGTTATGGTCAATATATGCTCCATGAGATGGTTTCAAAAACCGCCTTAAAATGGTATATAAAGATCTTCAGTCTTCAGATTATCTATAACATCAGCCCTCAGCTGATCTATAAAGTCCGCCTTCAGATGGTCTATAAAATCCACCTCCAACTATTCTATAGAGACCACCTTTACAATTAAATCTTCCTAAACCCGTCTCCAGCTGGTCTATGAAGTCCACCATCAGCTGGTCTATAAAGACCGCCATCAGCTGGTCTATGAAGACCACCATCACCTGGTCTATAAAGACCGCCATCAGCTGGTCTATAAAGACCACCTTCAACTGGTCTATAAAGTCCACCATTTTAAAGACCCTCTTCAAGTGGTCTATAAACATCTTCTCCAACACATCTATAAAGGCCTAATACAACTCGTCTATAATGCCCTTCAGCTGGTCTGTAAAGACCACCTTCAGATGATCTACAATGTCTGCCTTCTGCTCGTTTAAAAATGTCCCCATCAGCTTAAGATGGTCTATAAATTCCACATTCTGAAGGTCTATAAAATTCGCCTTCAGCTTATCTATAAAGTCCACCTTCAGAGGGTCTATAAATTCCGCCTTCTGCTCGTTTAAAAATTTTCCTTCAGCACAGTCTATAAAGATTCCGTTCAGTCCATCAATAAAGACCTTCTCGGTCTATAAAGACTATCTGAAGCTCTTCCATAATGTAGAGATCTCCGGCCTTCCAAACACTTCTATCGAAAACTATATCTTCTCCTATGGCAGAATCAGCATGCCGACAATTTACTCTACCTAAAACAAAAGGTATTTCTTTATAAAAAATATCTCTAGATCACAGATCAGATTCCATACCTTAGGCCTGGCACCCCTCAGGAAACGTTGTCCCGTGACATTTTGTGTCAATTTTAATTGATTTATTGTGAGTTTGGTTAAAATCCGAATATTTCGTGAAAACATCATGTTGATGTTGTAATTCGGGATAAAAGGAAAAAATGAAAAACGTTCCACTTGCTAACGATTGGGAGGAGAAGACAAAATGGACGATAAAGACGAGAACTCAAAGAAGTATAACGAAATATTTACGAATGAGGTGGGATGGAGAAAACGGCATGAGAACCGGCATTGTTGACACACACACAGGGACACGGTTCAAAAGGGAAATTTATTCACTTAGAGGAACTCGAAGTTGAACCATGCAGGTCGATAATGCCGTGCATTATTTACAAATATGAGGTTAAATGTTAGAATAGTGAATCAAAACAAAACCAGATGATAAATAGGGTTACCCAAGTGGGAGGGTACGGTTGATCAAGTGTTCGAAAAAATAGACTAGAGTTGCCAATTTAAAGATCTATAAAGACCGTCATCAACTGGTCTATAGAGACCACCTTCACAACCTAGATATCAGATTCCTCGTTTTTCATTGGTTCTTAGAGCCGGATCAGTGACCGATCCGGCTACCTTAACGGTCAACGAAATTCTGTCAGCTTGGTGAAAAATCCACAGAAAGAAAAAAATTGGAAAAATAAAATGCTGAGTCAAAAGGAGACTGCGGCAAGGAAGAAGGCGGCGAGACAGTGAAGCTCCTATTCTGAGCATAGCGGCTGCAGATGAAAGGAAGGAAGCGATGGATTTCCTTACCCTAGAAGATAAGCTAGGCAGAGCCTCGGCACCGACCCAACTTCAGGTGGAAATATACAATCTGCTAACTAATATTGACATGTGCGCATAGGCTATCAATGAAATGGATACGACTGTGAGATACAGTCTATATATGACTTTATAGAAAGTTTGGTGAGGAACGAACCCGATGAAGTGAAAGACGATCCGATGGTTCGGGATCGGTGGATGGAGATATTGGAGAAGAAATCCAATATGGCAGGAGGTTTTAGGCCAGCGGCTGCAGACAAAGCCCAGGCAGCAGAAAAATCATGGGAAGAAGAGCAAAGGAAGCTTTTGAAAGAACTGGATCTTTCGGAGAAGAACCGACGATCAACAGAGGCCGAACGTGACCAGTTGGTCATACGAATCGTTGCCAATGACAATAAGGAGCGGCAAGTAAGTAATATTCCATTTGCACAGGAAATAGCTCCAATCGAATTTCACTATCAACTTCGCAAGCTGGAAGGTGATTTGGTGGCGGCTGCAGAGAAAGCACAGGCAGTAGAAAAATCATGGGAAGAAGA